TATATATAAATATATACATACATACATACATACATACATACATACATACATACATACATACATACATACACACACAAACACACACACATACAATAAATAAATATTATAGTAAATATATATATATATAAGTTATAGTATATAACATGAATTATCTTGATGTGGGTGTCTGACAGCTGAAAATAGATCTGAAAGCAGATATTGCAGCCTTTAAGTTTTACCTTTAACTTTTTTGTTAACATTTATTTATGTTTAGGATATACATTTTTACATTCTGATTCCGAAGCCTGATTATTAAAGTGACTATAATTAATTAAAATATTCTTAGGAATAAAATATGATGTGTTCTTTGGAAGAGTTTACTTGCATTGTGATAATATTAAATTGTCATTCTTATTAGCGGATCAGCTTTTTCCCCAGAGCTGTCTCCCTCTTGAACTCTGCCCCTCACTGACTCTGGCTGAGAAAAAAAACACAAAATGGCTCTATAGACACCGTTCTACAATTATAATCTTATTCATATACTGTACATGTAAACAATGCTTTACTGACACAAACTGCAGGACACCAGTGGTGATTTACAGCCAACGCTGGAAGAGTTTGTTGACATCTGTAATGAAATGTGGAAAAGTTCACCAAATGAGAGGAAAAAGAAAACATCGCTTGTGTTGCTTTAACATGGCCTAAATAAACCTTAAATAACTCCGGGGAGACACACCAAAAACCAGTGAAACATTATACTAAAAGTAGACGCTGTTTAAATTAGCTCAAAAAGGAAAGATTTCCACTTCTTTTGGGCCGTCGGATGAGTCTCAGACAAGATTCTTTGAATGATTTCCAGGTAAACATTTATGAAGTAGGTCAGCCGAGGCACCAAAAATAAAAATAAAAAACAGAGCAAAAACCACATCCTTGATTCAAATAAACTTCGGTTTTCCATAGCTTATAATACACCTTTAAGCATGTCCCTTTCCATAAAGGATATTTCAAGACTCTTTTGATGCAAAAGGAGCACCGATGAGCAAAAGGTGTAGACCAGGGGTGCTCAATCCTGTTCCTGGAGATCTACCTTCCAGTTTCAGTTGCTACCCATATCAAACACACCTGAACCAATTAATTAGGACCTGAACACCATGTGATAATTACAGGCAGGTGTGTTTGATATGGGTAGCAACTGAAATCTGCAGGAAGGTAGATCTCCAGGAACAGGATTGAGCACCCCTGGTGTAGACATTACCATCTGTCAAACAGGTAATGTTGTTAGTGCTAATATAGCAGATTCACTGAAAAATACAATGGCATTATCTCTAGTAAAGAGAACATTTAGGGACGCACCGAAATTCAAATTAAAAAATTTCAAGCCAGGCTCATTGGGAATTAGAGTTAGGCCGATAGACGATGCCATCGTCCATCGCCGATGGCCGACATAGTACTATGTACTTAGTAATTTTAGTGGAACCTCAGACACTGTTGGCTGGTTCCTGAAGGTTGTGCCCCTTTTTTACCAACCAAGTTTGTCGACGCCATTATAACAACACAGATCACTTTACCTACTCACAAGTCCTGCGGAAAAAGTGATTGACAGGTGGTAATTATGTGTGTAACTTATCTTTATTCAATTATGATTTGGTTATGGGTAAAACAAAGACCATGCGGGTCAGGTAGTTAAAACGTTAGGCTAATTCGTTATGAATTAATTAATCATTCATAATTAAATTACTGCTGCCAATGGCGTCGATGCCATCGTCCATCGTGATTTTTCATATTAGACATCATACGATGCCAAATTGGCCGACATCGCCAAACCCTATTGGGAATATTTGCCCAGGGCTATATTTTTGAGAACCGAGCAATGTGTACCCTGGACTACGTCTGCTTGCAGTTTTAAAAATTGTACAGAAGGTGCCTT